CGCTTTGGGGCCCCCCCCCCCCCCCCCCCCCCCCAGGGGGCCTCCAAAAGGCCTCAAGGAGGTTTCCGGTTTAGTTTTGCCCCGGGTCCCTGGAAACCTTTGGGCGGCCCTGGTAAAACCAACCATGGAAGAAGAAAGACCCCATTGTCAAATGAAATTTTCCATTGCAGCATGGACATGTGCAATCAGAAGGTGTGCAGTTAATTGCCATTTTGACTACATGGCCCATGATGTCCGTGTGAAAGGAGTTCTAAATGTCAACAACAATCCTCCTGACATGACTTTTGAAATCAAGGTGAGAAAATAGTTTTAGGCCTTTTTGATGGGCATGAGTTATGTGGTGTATTAGCCAAACATCATGACACCCATAACTTGGGCCATCTGGAAAGCGACCATGGTCTGAATTACTTAGGTGAGGTTGTGATATTCTGACTGGACTCACCTTGGTTCAGTGAGAAGTAAAGGGCCAATATCCCTGAAATATTTACTTTTGTGACAGTCTGAAAGGAAGGAAAGCAATTTACTCAGAGACATCACCTAAAACAAAAAAGGGTTAATCCTTATCACCAAGAAAAAGCTATATGTGAACTGAAGCCAAATTCATGAAATTCGCTGTAACTCGTAATGGTTTGTTATGAAATTAATTGTATTAATACTTCCGAGTGTTCATTGCGTATTTGTTACACATTCAAGGAAACTTGATTTGATTTTCTTGGCAAACACATTAAGAAAAGTATAGCCAAAGTCTCGATACTTTTGGTACGCCCTTTGTATTACCTCCAAGGGGGTGCCAAGAGGGGGGGGGGGGGCTGCCCCCTCTGCCTCCCCCGTAAAATACGCCACTGCTCAAATAACAACTTGCAGCAACATGGAATGCTGCTGAATGTTATTGTTGCCAAAGCCTAACGAATGATCAGAGCTAAATATATTCAGTCTAGACACGAAGTGTCACATGCAATTAGGTTGAGGGCCACTAACAAATCTCAGGAAAACACTTTTTATATGAACAGGTTGAAATCTGCAGCACTTTTCAAAAACCAGTTATTGAAGGAGACTTAGCATGATGAAATAAATGAACAAGCATGCTAGATATGGCCTGTAGGCCACTAATTTGACGCTCTTGGTTAAGGCCTTTGAAATAAATTTAGTATAATTGTGGACTTGGCTGATGATTTTTGCTCATTATACCTTTCATGACACGAGGTAGCTAAATCCTGAATTTCATTGCAGGCAAATAATCAAATATGGAAAATGACTTTCAATGTTTGCAACCCAGAAGAAACTCTCCCCATTCAGGGAATGTCCTTCTCCAACTCTCCTGTTGTGCCGAAATTTTCATTCAATACCTTGTCGCTCCAGGGCACCAATATCCTGAATATCATGGTGAGACTTTATTCTTTATTTTTTACTTTTTTACTTCATGTAGGACTGTTACAAAGATTGTTTTAAAAACATTAATGCATCTACCAGAAAATTTGATGCATTGGTAATATTAATTTTTTTTTTACTGCCCCTGTGGAGTGAAGTGTGGAGAGGTACACTTCCTTTTTCTCTAGTTTCAATCAGGAGATACCATCCATCATCCCTTGTTAGAATAGAGGCAGGATAGTGGCGTTTGTCATTGATTCTTGCTGTGAAACACCAGGGGGCAAGACTGTCTTGTTGATTATTGAAATTAGATATCTTCATGAAGCAACAGAAACTTGATATGTCAAAGTACTAATTAAAAGTAAAAGCGCTAATAGACAGCCCTAATTTCATGATCCATGGATTCCTCAAGATAGATTGTACAAGGTCTCCCAAAAGTATTCGAACTTCAGTTACAAATCAATTTCCCATGTGATATTTATAATTTTTATTATTGATTATTCAAAATACGTCCCTTCCGAAGAAATGCAGGCTTTGCAGCGATCATACAACTTTTGGAAACACCTCTGGTAGTCTTCCTCCGAGATGGCGGAAATAACCTTGGTCGAACCCTTTTGGATGTCCAAAATCGTGTCGAAACGCTTTCCTTTCAGCTTCATTTTTAGTTTGGGGAAAAGGAAATAATCACAGGGTGCCAAATCAGGCGAATAGGGCGGGTGGTCAAGCACTACGACTCCTTTTGAGGCCAAAAAGTTCCGCACAATGATGGACCTGTGAGACGGAGCATCGTCGTGGAGGAGAGACCAGCTGCCTGGTGCTTGGTATATAGGACGGACCCGAGCAATTCTGGCCAGCAAACGCTTCATAACGGCGAGGTAGTGGGCGCATTCAGTTGCGAGCTATAACGCGAGTCACGGCACGAAACACTGAATGCATCGGGTGATGACGCAGGAATCTGACTCGAATTACGTGCTATGACCCGATCTCTGAGATCGAGTCATTATCATCAGGTCATCACTCCAAACATGGCGACATCTATGGAAGACTCCCAGCGGCGAGAGTACGTACACAGATTCGGGGAAACGTGCAAATGAAGTTGTGAATGATGCAAAAGGATGTCACGACGGCTGTTCCTTTCTTTCACCTAGCTAATATGAATTGTAATATCCCGAAATTGCTTTTGAGAAGTGGATAGCCCACCTCAAATTTGCTTCAAGATTCAAATTTGGTATGGAACATTTTTTATTGCTGGCTGAGGTGACGACTACCTTGAGTGGCACCACGATGCAATAAACAAGAGGGTGAGGTCGAACTCGAACATTGTGAATATCCCGGAGAGGTAACTTGATCTTGAAGAGCATTCTGTAAATCTTCACAATTTTCTCATTTCAACTCCCTCTATTGTTGCTACTACACAGAAAAGCAGCTAAAATTCGCTGATTAAATGACCCAATGCATTCAGAAGGTTGCATCAGATGTCAAGTGGGCTATGCCCCGAGTCATGACTCGCCCAGTTAGATCGAGTCACAACTGAATGCGCCCAGTATTCGCCATTTACCGTCTGGCCTTCTGGAACGAACTCCTTGTGGATAATCCCAGCCGAATCAAAGAAAGTGATTAGCATTGTTTTCACCTTTGACTTCTGCATGCGCACTTTTTTTGGTGTTGGTTCTTCTGGAGTCTTCCAAACTGAGCTCTGGCGCTTCGTGAGTGGCTCATATTGAAAACACCACGTTTCATCGCCAGTTACAATGGTTTTTAAAAAGTTTGGGTTATTATCGGCGATCGAAATGATGTCTTGGGCATGCAGCACTCTGGCTTGTTTTTGATCGTCGTGCAATGAGCGCGGAACAAATCGCGCACAGACTTTTCGCCGCTGCAAATCTTCGGTCAAAATGCGGTAAACTTGTGATTTACTGATACCTATGATATCCTCAATGAGTCTCACGGACATGCAACGGTCGCTTTTGATCAAATCACGCACTTTTTCCACTGCTTCGTCCGTTCGACTGGTCAAAGGGCGCCCGCTGCGTTCATCGTCTTCCAACGATTCTCTACCGTTCCGAAACTTTGCATACCACTCGTAAACTGTCGTACGTGATAGTGCTTGTTCCCCATAAGCCTTCCGCAACATCTCGAGCGTCTCCGTAAATGTTTTCTCCAATTTTACACAGAATTTGATGTTAGCTCTCTGCTCCATGGTGATTTCTCGACGAGTGTCATGAGGGTACTGTTACTTTTGGCGCCCTAGGCAATGACTCATTCGCCTTAGCCCAACCAAACTCGACAGAGTAATACATGAAGGTTCAACCAATAGAACGCCACCTTCTTTCAACAAATGGCGCCACTAATACTGTCTGTATAGAAAAAGTTCGGATACTTTTGGGACAAACCTTGTAAATAGGTCATCTGAAAAGCAGAGGCATGGAGGTGGAAGTTGAAGTGAGTAGACCCACACTCATACCACGACCATCCTATTGTGAATTGGATTAAAATTGAGGCTGTCAATACCTTGGTGGATCAATGTCACTCTAACAGTTAGCACCATTGGTATAATTGGGTACTGCAATGCTTGAACATACTGAGAAGTGTTAAAATTATAACTTGATTTTTTTTTTGTTTTTCTGACATCACTGCCCCTCCACCACTGAGGTATCCCCACCCCCTTTGTGGGACCCCCACTGATAATAGGAAGCGGGGGAGAAAGAGACAAGGGCAGTAGAAAGTACCAGCAATAAGATGATACAAAAGCAAGAATTTTGGTTCCATTCCCACTTATGCTAACTTCTGGGGCTTCCTTGCCCAAAGACTGGAGCAATTTCTGTTCTTCTTACTTCGTCCTTAGTTCATCCCAGTTCCTTACTACATTTTTAGCTTAATCAATGGTTGAAATATTTAGACCAAGCTTCTTCAATAGCTTGTGTTGATACATGAATGTTTTCCAAACTGCCATCATGACAATCCAAAGTAAAATTCAAGGGGAATATGATGAAACAATGACTCAACCTCCATGTTCCTCTTGGGTGTTTTTCATTTGTTGCACATATTCAGAACTGATTTCTCTACAGTATTCCAGTTCAATTGTGTTCTAGTCAGCATTGTTTTGTTTTACTTTGATCTGAAGGATGCCTTTTGATCATAATTTCAGTTCACCATCATGATGATTGCTATTCTTGTTTGGGGTTGTTCTGTTTGCACTTTTTCTCACAGAACTCCTGACCCCCAAAGACCTTAACCTCTGGCCTTTAACTTTCTGGCCTCAAGGCCTTTCTGGCCTCGAAGGACCTCTGGCCCTTAACATGGTGTGAAAGATGTTCCAGAAGGCCCAATTGAACATTGCCTTTGAGTTCCTGTCTCACATTTCCTTAATTTGCTTATATTTATGCATAAATTAATGCAGGTTTAAATATATTTGTTGCTTTTGATATGTTAATAGCTCTTCATTCTCTCTCAGAGCTAGTTTAGAATTGCCAGCATTAGATGGAAAAAGTTGAAGGAAAAAAGAGTAATACTGGTATGTGGAAGGGATAGGATTCATATAGGGGTATCTGTCAATCTTGACAGGGTTCCTTGGAAGGGCAGATTAAGTACCTATTCTTAAATGGATCCCTTTCTCCTGACTGTGAGCTGAAGTGCCTGGAGGCCCCAGATACCACCAATCCCTTGGATACCACAACTCCCCATACCACCACACCTCTGGATACCACTACACCTCTGGATACCACTACACCCCAGAGTGCTGTCACTTCCCCAAATAGTTTCAAGTCTGCACGACTCTCAACTGCTCAAGTCATAACAAGTCTGTCATTTTCCTCTCCATCATGCATAAGCAGAAACTCAATCTTATCTTTTGAGTGCTTGGTAGCTTTACCTGGGAAGAATCTATGTCTCAAGTTAGTCTCAGTCAAAAATTAATTTAGATTTGTAGATTATACTTGGATGTTTTCATGGCATCTATTGAGTGACTAAGCTTTATTTTTCTCGTGTATTCCTTTCATGTTGGATGGTCAACAAAAATGAAAGTTGTGATATGAACCATCTCTCCATGATGGATGAATTTTGATATGATGTTGACAGAAGTTGCATGCATTTTAGTAATGATTGGCTCTCATCCCTGAAGTTCACTTGAATTGGAATTCAAGTAAACTTCAGAGTTGAGAAGTATCTTTTATGACTTGACGCTTATGCTGCTTCAATATTATGATTGCAGTTATGTCAGCCATCCTGCTGCCAATAGCTATTTTCGTTATGATCATAGTCTATGGCTACTACAGAATGCATCAACAGGCGAAGAACACAGCAGCCATGTCATCAGGTGAGACACACACTTGAACCTAGTTAAGTGATATTAATCCACCAAGTTAAAAAAATCAATATGATTTCTTCAACTGGGTGGATTCTGGCTATTTGCAGATTAATTTCTGGCTAGAAATGAGGCTTCTTATGCAGTTGCTCAAATTTCTGAGTTTCTTTCAGTCTGTAAAAATGTTGTCATTATTGGGGAGTTCAGCTACAGTGAATTTCCACTGTAAATCATCCCTAATAGTCACAGTATCTGTTTTTGGAGCATTGAACAATTTGAACTATACAAATTTCTGCAGAGCAAATAAGGACAGTGGAGCAGAGAGTCACTCCTCCTTTGCTTCATGACCCAACCATCTCAATCACCCAGTCCTCAGGTATCCACTTATTTTGCCTCACCTACGCTTTCTCTGTATCTTTGATTATTTTTTAATAGCTATAATAAATAACAATACGTACATTAAGAGGATTTTTACTTTCGGAATGGGCCTTGTCTAGCCCAGATTGTTTTTTTTTTCTGAAATACGAGGTCTGACAATAAAATAACGAGATTGACAGCACTGTAATGCGTGTGGCAACACTGAGTTACCGGGGATCGCTGTAACCTGTCAGTGCATGTCTTAAGTACAGTAGCAAACTTGTGATAATTCTAGTGATTGCAGAGCAGTACCACTTTACCTAAAGTAGTGTTAGGGGCACTCGTAAAAAAAATGGGTGATAATATTATGAACAAAGAATCAACGTGAAATTTCTAATTAAACTCGGGAAAAAACCAATTGAAGTCTTTGAAATGTTGAACTTTCCGATAAAATCAATGGTACTGTCTCTCTATTGATGCACAATTCTTCGGTAATCATTCTGACAATAAGACGACGATCACTTTGTTCCAGAGTTCTCACATTTTCGATGCTTTCATCCGATTTTGAAGTTGTCGGACGTCCAGGCCGTCTGTCAAAACTCAACTTCTTCCCTTCCTTCAGAAAAGCGTTTACACCATTCAAAGACATTTTGCTCTGGACTTAATCTCATCTCCGTAAATTTGTTTCAACATTTCAAAGACTTCAGTCGGCTTTTTCCTGAGTTTGATTGGAAATTTCACGTTGATTCTTTGTTCATAATATTATCGCCAATTTTTTTTTACGAGTGCCCCTAACACCACTTTAGATAAAGTGTTACTGCTCTGCAATCACTAGAAGTATCACGACAAATTTGTTACTGCACAGACTTAAGACATGCACTGACAGGTTACAGCAATCGCCAGTGACCCAGTGTTGCCACACGCATTACAGTGTTTTCAGTCTCGTTATTTTATTGTCAGACCTCGTATCCCTTGATTGTACTTTCTGCATTTAGAAATTGGATATTTGAGAGAAAATATGCATGAAATTTGACATTTTGATGTGACTTCTCAGCAAGATCATGTATGCTCTACCGTGATTCAATTAGTTCTCATGATTCGCTCTTAATAATGCAAAATGTCATCATTCTGGGTTGATGGCTTTGAAAATACTTTGAAAAATTAAACTACTGCAAACACTCCAATACTGCTGGCAGTGCATGGGGATTTACAGATTTGATGAACATGCTCTTTTTAGCACTGCAGGAGATTTGATGCATTTCTTGGTGTGCTTCATTTTTCAAGCAGGCTTCACTTTTCCTTTCACAACTAATGACACGAATAATACAATAACTAATAACATAATTAACTCAGTGGCTCACAAGAAGTCACTCCCTCATCCTAGTAATGGATTATTTTATGCTGAAAATTTTCTAAAGGAAGGTTGTCATGTTCTGTAAATAATGGTGTTCACAGGTAACAATGGCATTGAAAGTGGAAGACCTGAAGCGGATGGAGACAATGAAAGGTCCGAAATCCAGGTCGATGGAGGTGAATATTGTCACGGAGAAGTCAAGAGCCAAATGACCACCCAAGAGCCACAGAGAAGACCGAAGGACTCATTGCCTATTCGGTCTCCTCTCCAGAGGTCTCCTCTGCCAATAGACCAAGGAAGGGCCACTGCTAGTTCAATGACAGGTATGTTGGTATTGGTTTCCAAAATTTTTTGAGAAAGATGAACCCTGAAATCTTGATTTCAGCAAAATCATGTAAGCCTCACCACAATACTTTTAAAAGCCTTTTTTTTTTTCAAACATCTTCAGACTCAAACAGCACACATAAATGTCAAATCCTATGGCTTATTTTCCTCAGGTCTGAGGAGGATGAAGGTTGATGTTTTGGGGGTTTAGTAATGAACTACCAACTTGGAATCAGAAAGTTGCAATTAAAATTAGCCCCTTTTAGTGAACAGCTGCAAATGACAGAAACATTTTTTTTTATCATGACCAATGCCTGAGATAATCAAAGTAGAATAGGTCAATGACCTGGAGGGTAAAAAAAAAATCAATTTTGAAGATATGGTTTATTATCCATTGCCTAGGGTCTTTTAGCTGCATTAAGATAGCAAGATGGGAGAGGAGGGGAGAGGAAGAAAGGTTTCATTGAGGGTAACAAACTCATGGTAACTTTATTACAGTTAGAGACATTTTTTAAGTCTAATGTTATTTGGCCTGAAACTTTGAAAATGTTATGTCTGTGATAATTGCCCCTTGAATGGTCATCACTGCATCTCAGTAAAAATATGATTTTTGGTCTCATTTGAAAGAGTAGTAAGTAGTAAAAGGACTTTCATGTTAACTTGAAAGCAGAAAATTTTGGGGGGTATTTTAACTTTAAGGGCTGCCTATGATGAACTTTTGATGAACCATATGATGAACTTTTTTTCATGGCTATTTGGCTCATTTAAGATTCCCTATTAAAATAATAATAATAATAATAAAGGAATTATGCTACATCAAAGTTCTTGGCACTCAATGACTGCTAAAAGTTTGGCTCTTGGGTATTTTTTAAATTATAGAATTGTAATTTACTGTATGGTAGACAACTGATTAAAAAAAATACTTAAAAAAAATTCAGTATTATACATTATTCTGATATATTTTCAAATGTGGCTGTGAAGAAAAACATTATTCCTCTGTGGACGTGAAAAGGTGAGCATCAGGTCCATGTGCAACACAAATCTCGTAGGATGCAAATCTCTAAAGAGTCAGCAAATAATTCACATGTAATTTCATTTTTGGATTGGCATATCAGAATGGGGCTGCAACCAGTGAGCCAGGAATGTCCTCCAGTGTTCCCCATCTGTCACAACTGACTCAAGTGCAGCTGGTGGGATACCAGGTCTCTCCTGACAAAGATTCGCAATGCATTCTGTCAACCTTCTACTAACTGGTTTGCTGGCCATTTTGGATCAGGAGACTCTTTTTGGGAATCTCATGGGGGAGGGGGGGGGGCCATGTCAGAGACATGCTGGAACCAACAAGCTTGAGATCTCCTGATCCGAGAAGTAACTGCTCAACCTGGAGGTTCGTAAGGATGGTGGCACTCCCCATCCTCTCACAACATGTAACACTGGCCACCTGCTCCAAGAATCTCATTTTGGCAGCTTGAATCTGCAACCTGACTCTTTTAGCAAGGACCGAAAGAGGAACCACTACACTAGTCTGCCAATCCACCAGTGCTGTTCCCGATCCTCATGAGGTTCAACCTACCCCCTGCAACCATGAACACCCATTGTTGCCCATTGCTTTCGATGCCTTCAGGACTTGACTTGGGAAAGTTTCCAGTCCTTGCCCCTGACTAGATTATGTTTGGCATCAACAAATGTGAACTTCATCTCCCATCCTCCCTTTGGTGTGAAGGGACTTAGTGAGATAGGTATTAGAATGCTGAAACCAATGAACACGAGGAACCACTCTTTCCTCCTTAAACAAGCAGGACCATTGAAACTTTTGAGAAAGAGCGATTGATTCTCAGGAGAAAAGTACTGGAAATGTTCATGCCATACTTATTGTTTTTGGCATACATGTGTTTTTAGTTACCAATATACAATGCCTGGAGTTTCATTTGTTCCACGTTCCAATTCTTAAGAGTAATGGAAAATATATTAAGTGCTGGTTCACATTAGATCTGGGATCAATTGAATGCTCAGGTTGGCATCGCTCTCAAACATGAATGGCAAATGACAGATGCACAAAAAATGGGTTTTTGTTTCCCCCTTCAGAGAGAGGCATATCATCTGGGGCTGAGGGGAACGCAGAGGAGCCATTTGCCCCCACCCCCCAACTTGTAAGAAGAAGCAAAAGGAAGAAAAAGTCACATGAAATCCATGAGAACAGTGTACAAGAATCCCCGGACTGCCCCATTTCCTCCACCCAGGCTTCACTTATGCCATCAGATGAAGGAGCAGCAGTGGAGGAATCCAGGGATTCACACCCCTCGCCTTCATGATTTCTGGATGGCCCCCTAGATCTCCTGATCTTGGTCCCCTTGATTATTTCCTTCAGGTACAATACCATTCCATCGAAAAGGGAGTGCCACGTAGCACCAAAACTCGTAGCGCCAAAAACATGTAGGAACAAAAATTGGCGCTCTCTGAACAAAAACTCGTAGCGTAAAAAACACAGGGGAGGTATTCCAGCTCAAATGATCAAGGGGTGGTTGCGCATCAGACTCCGATTTGCTTGAAGAAATTATTGGATGCTGGCAATCAAGACTTATGAAAAAATCCAAAATTTTGGCTCTCTGGTTCTAACGGATCTCGAGATATGCGGCCCCAAACTTCGCACCCTAGAGGAAAAGTGGCCTTTAGGTTTAAAGCGCTATCTTTGGTCCTATTCGAGCTAGAGACGGGTTTTTGGACTCTAAGTAAAGCTGAGACCACGTAGAATTGCATCATTAAATGCATTTTCTACAGCGTTTATTATACAGGGTGGGCCAAAAGTTTTTGCCCCTGTAGAAAAATGTGAATATCTCCTGAACGGTTTGGGCTACAGAGTCGAAAAAAAAAACTAAAAGGAAGTTCATTTCATGCTCTTTCTGAAAATGTATGGCTTTAGGTTCCTATATTCATTTGGAGATGAGTCATGGCCGTTTGAAAAAAACATACAGAAAAAAAAAGTTGCCAAAACGAACCTATACCGTGCCGCACACGGAAATCATCCACAGCAGCCTTCTTCAAGGTCGCGCGCGCCGTCGTTTTCTTCCTTCCTAATTGCTCCCTCCCTTCCCTCCCTTCTTCATAATGTGAAGAATGACAATTTGAAGACTTTGATGCTTGATTTGGATAACCGACCAGCAGAAGATCGTGACAAAAGTTAAACGGCCTCCGGTGGTCCACTCCGCGCGTTGTGCTGAGTGCTCGTCTTTGCAGTGTTAATTTTGTTTAATTTACCCTTTTTTACCTCTCATTCAGAAACCCNCAAATGTCGTTGTTCATAAGTTGAAAGACCTTATATTTAGATTTATCATTGGCATGAACACTGCCATTTGACATGCAACAGCCACATTACACTTTGAAGGAACACAACTCCATTCTGCAGTCTGAATATTCTGAAATGTACATGCATGCAGGCGTCTGCAGCCGTCCCGTCTCTAGCTCGAATAAGACCAAAGATAGCGCTTTAAACCTAAAGGCCCTTTTTTTTCTAGGGTGCGAAGTTTGGGGCCGCATATCTCGAGATCCGTTAGAACCAGAGAGCCAAAATTTTGGATTTTTTCATAAGTCTTGATTGCCAGCTTGCAATAATTTTTTCAAGCAAATCGGAATCTGAAGGCCAACGAATGTGACTAAAATTTGACCCCTTGAGCTGGAACGCCTCAGAGCATAATCTCGTAGGGCCAAATATGATCTGAAGCTAGATACCACGTAGCATCGAATCATGCAAGATCAAATCATATACCTGGTAGCATCGAATTTGTTACTACGAATTCGGCGTCACCTGATTTGTTTCTACGTGTTTCGGTGCTACGTGCTTTCTATGACACGTATTTTCGATGCGATGCGTTTTCGAGACCGCATGAATTTTCGGTCACTTTTGACGTTTGATCTCGCACGATTTAGTACTGCGAGACTCGAGGAAACTTTTTTTCTCTCATGTCTTTTCGATGGACCTTTTATGTAAAGGTCCGTGGCGACCGGCCTACGAATTGGACCACCGTAGCGGGAAGATTGGGGCTTTAATTTTGTTGCAGTGGGTTTACAAAGTAAAATTTGGTTTGCCGAGAAGTCCGTTGCCATGCATGTTCATCGGTGTCAAAAATTCTCTATTTTCCCTCTGGGTTTTTTGCACGATGTTTTTATCATATTTTCCTGCTGTGATTATTGTCGAACCATGCTGTGTCTTGTGTATTCACGTGATCAAATTCTAGCATGCATAAAAAAAATGTTGCAGGACGTTGGATGGTGTTTGTATTTGAAACCTTCCGCTCCGTGTCTGGTCGAAACACGGCAATGTATCAATACATCTCGGAGAGGCACTTATCCATCTTATTTCTCTGGAGTCCAGCCGAAGTTGCCGAAAGAGTGAACCACGGAATACTCCGGTTTTTTTTTTTTTTAGATGCGAGGGACCCCGAGCAGACGAGCGAGTAGATACGAGGTTTTGCGCCGATTTTGCCATCCAGGACCGCGAAACGAAATTTGCACCTGCATCACGAGCTTCGCGTAAATGCTGCGCAAATGCTTCGTTCGGCTGCATCAACAAATCTCGTTTTTTCACCGTCATAAGGAATCTTGGAAGGGAACAAAACACTTAATTATTACAGAAATGGAATGAGAGCTCGAAATTGCTTTCCTCCCCCCCCTTCCACCTCATTCCCAGCCTCTTCT